GCCATTTGAAGTGAGATTGGCTCGGCGAGGATGCGACCGTCTTCTTGGCCTCGACCCCAGCAGGACAAGAGGAGCGCGTAATGATCCGATATGGCACGAATGGAGGTGGACAAAGTCTTGCTGATATGCTTCGCAGCGGAGGGAGGGTGCGGGAACAGCTGAGCTACGGTTCCCACGCCGACACCGATCAGGACTAACAGCAGTCGGCGCCAGAAGACGGTGTATCCGACGCCTGGATTGCCATAGGTTGGGATGTGGCTGCATGAATAGTCAGAGTCAATCACAGCAGGACTAGGGCTTTGCGACTTGGAGGGTACTTACGTATCGTCGTAGCTGTACGCAACAACAAGCAAAAACGTAGCACCACCCATGATGCTCCCCTGCAGGAGGCTAGGAGGCAGAAAAAGACGCGACCAAAGGAAGATTACAAGCATCACGGCCATGATAGCCGCTAGTCCATAGGGACTGCCCGGTCCATTGCCTGAACCGATATACCATGCTAGCAAGCCCAAGAGGCCGCCAACAACGGTTCCTATAACGCGCGCAACGACAGAAAATAAGTAATCAGCCATGTACGGCAAGAGACCTGTCTGCGCCATGATCAAAGCCCAAAGACCTTTCTCGCGATAGAAGAAGCCCGCCGTACTGGGTAGAGCAGAAATAATCCCAATGGCAATAGTGACCACGACCATACGTAAAGCGTAGAGTCCTTCTGCTGATGTGAACCAGTGGTACGTGCCCAGAATAATGCGACTAGGAAGACCGCGGCGCTTGACGCGGTATCCACGACTCAGCCGCAATCTTTCTTGCACTGATTTGGTTGCGTCGGCCTGTTCTTCTGGATCGTCGTCTGCGACTTGAGCCATGGCAGGGGCTTTGTTGCCCTTGCCTGACACCCAGGACACAAAGGCTTTGAGGCTCAAAGGCCACCACACTCGTGTTCGCTGGGAGCTCAGGAAGATGTTCAGCACCTGATCCAGTAAGGACTCGGTTTTATCCATTGCGTTGGCCATGATTTCCTCGAACACCATCCCGACTACAATGCCTCCAAAGTTCTTGGCGTGACGGTCAGCGTCGTCACCCGGTCTCCCGTCCATTAGCGGCCCGTAGCAGCTAACCAGCGACTCTGTTGTGTTACGAATGAAGGTTTGGCGCACTGCGCGAAGATCTTCGAGAGCCTTGCGGCTCCGCTGGCACAATTCCTCCCGCGCCTCGGGCGAAGAGCGCCGAAACCAAGGTCGGCCATTTGCCATGTGAATGCAATCCTTCGCGGCGGCCAGTGCAGCCACACATGCTTCAATGGCCGTTGAAGCAGCGCTCACGAATGCCTGGAGGGTTTCCTCCGGGATAGGTTCGCTGTCGGAATTGCGCAAACCATCTAGCAAACGCGCCATTTGCTGCAGCTGGTGGCGTCCCACCTCACGCGAGGGCTTGACCTTTTCATCTTGCGACTCAATTCGGTCTGCATACTTTTTTAAAACTTCTCTCGCGCGAGCCTTGCCGGAGACGCGGTTCATGTGAAACTCGAGCAAGGAGAGAATGGCTCCGATAGCCTGTCGAACAGGTTCCTTAAGAGTTCCCACATGCTGCGCGCCCCAACACCCGATCGAGAAATCCAACGGCAAGAACGCTAGGGCGGGCTCGACCTTCCGATACTCGCCGATGATGCCGACTTGTGTCTTGCGCAACTGCGCCATATTCAAGTCTGGATCACGTTTCCCCAGCGTCGCCAAGGTGAACGCTAGTGGGTGAGTGAGTAGCTCAATGATATCCTCCATGCTGTTGAGAACGACTCGTGAAGTGGATTGCGGAAATATCAGCACCGAACAGGCAAACCCCAAGCCGATGCCGACGCCAGCCGGCTTGGCAAGTGCAAGGGGTAATGTGCCGTTGAACGAGGGAAGCAGGGGCAGATACGTGAGAAACAGGTCGGATATGATGATGGCGAAAATCGCCGTAAAGGTTGCTCTCGGATTGCTGGCTCGGAGGCGTGCCTGGCTGCACGGTTATTACTGACCGGGTAAACGAGCGTGGACCAGAGTCATACCATGAGATAAATGAAAGTACAAATGAGACAGTAAGTGACCGCCGTCACTCGCGCATCCAGCATATGGCCATTGTAAACCAACACCTGGACCACACTGGCGACTGATTGCCCAGTTGCGTTAGCCTGTTGCGCCGCGGTCTGCTCCAGTGCCAGCAATTGCGCCTGCGTGTCTGCAGATGATCTGGCTGCGTAGGCGGCCTTCATCGTGATGACGCCCCATGCCCAGGCTAAGCACACACCCAGGTATAGGGAGAGCGCTCCGAGGAGGTAGATAAACACCACACTCGAGGGTGGGAGCATAAGCAATACAAGACTGGTGCAAGCAGTTAGCGCGTATTGCAGAAGAAACAGTCAAGTCGACCTACCATGCGAAGAAAGTAGCCTGTCCCAAACTCGACAGGGATGGACTGATCAGGAACAACAAACAAGCCACCCAGGCTGCGACCCAACAGCGGAAAAGGATTTTCAGATCGCGCGCGTTGAAATGGTCGAGGAATGGCGGCAGGCGCCTTTTCCCTCCCTTCAGAACGGTTTCTTGAAGGTTTTCTATGGATTTCCCATCGTTCCTTGGCGGGTGATCTTTTGTGTCGGCCATGGTGTCACCGTTGGTTGCTTTTTTATCCAGGGACAAGATGATTGCCGACAGGCCTCTCTCTGCGCTGCATGGATAAACTCCCCGTGACACTTTTATGGTGATTCAAGAAGATGTGAAACTATGATAGCCGACCGTAATATTTACCTAACGAGATGAATAGAAAGGAGTGACTAGTGTTGGACAGGCGTGATGATATCGAACCGAGGATGGAAGGCAAGAAAGGGATGATGAATAGACTTCAGGGGAGGGAAAATGTCAGACGGTTGGGCACACGTGGGGGCGAGGCGAGTCTATTTCACCTGCTCAAGTTTGTGTTCGGAAATCCAAGTCGATCTGCAGCCCATAAAGTTTATGATTAGTGAAATAGTCGGGCTGATCTTTGCTGTTCGCATGCAGCTTATGCTCTTTACCCCCAGTTATGCAGAGGTTGTGCACATTTACGTGCGTCATCGATCTGGGCTGATGTAAACCCAGCGCACAAAGCCGGACAATGCCTATGACATAAGCACATTTTTGATTAACTAACAAACACGCTAGACCTAAATAGTCCATAGCTGTCCAAATTGACTGAAACCTGGATCTGGATCACTAATCACTCATTTTTCTACTGAGTACAAGCAGAATTAGCAAAACAGACCCCACTAAGCAAGATCAAGATACCCCTAAAATAAACAATCTTCTAGCTTTCGACAAAGATAATCGACTGGGGAGAGAAGGGAAAGGAGTACGTAGCGACCCCCAAATTGCCTTCTTCGGTTCGGCCAGCCTATACAGCTACAATACCCGTCTAAAAATGGGAGCGCCGCAGCAGTAACAGAAAACCTTTCCACAGCTAGAGTAAGTCAGTAATTAGTTCCCAAGCTCGGTCAGGTATAGCAGACTTACTGGCATGTCACGATCTTGCAACCATCTTTAGTATGTTCCACCATCGTCTGGCACCAGTAGCATCATCGCCATTTCTTAGCCTTGGCCAGTTTCAGAGTAGCCTGGAGGGCCTCATCCTTTTGACACCTCCCGCGATGCGCGATGGCGCGGCAAAGAACGTGGGTCTTGGTTCCACAATTAGGACAACATGCATAGTTTCCCTCAATGTTGTTGCGAGGCGCGATGAAGACAGAGCAAGAAGGGACTGCGCAGTATACCGGATGTCTGCTAGTATATTCAAGCACCCTGGCCTGGTACACGCAAAATCCATCATCACCGAGCAGAAAATGGATCAGCAGTTCCGTGTATTCAAGACCACAGCATCGAGGTGGCAGACTGCACCTCGCTGCCACGGCGTTGTGAGTCATCTTTCGAGCACAATCTCCACACGTTTGATGGCCACATGTGGGATCCAGACACGATTGCATTCTTCGTGGCAGTACATGCATCGGGCACCAGGTACTGTTGAGTGGGATAAGCCCTCGGATACAGCTTCGCCCATGCTGCTTGAAGTGCTCATGGTCTTGGGGATGCCGAGTCAATCGTACTCGGCTGGTGAGGAAGGCCCAGTCTGATGCCAAGATATATTCACCAACCATTAATTGCATTCTTTCTGCCTGCTAGTGATTTGATAATATCCTTGGCAGGTTGAAGACTGAATGATTATGTAGCATCGAATAGCCAAAGAAGAAAGCTTACTGACATGATGGAAAGTTCAAGAACGGGTTCTTGTGGTCTGATTCTTTAGGCATGTCAATTCGATCAGTTTACGAAGATGCTCGGCTACTCGAGCTTATTTCTAGTAGAAGAAAGGCGCTGAGACCAGCAATTGCGTGCGCGCAGAGCAAATCTTTGAAACAACAATAGGTCGAATCTAGCTTCAAGTGATCAGACTTTGTGATCGTTTTAAGTGGGAGATGCTTATAAATCAGCTCGCGATCAATATGCTGGGAGTTGTTACAAGCTGTAATTATCTCCAGGCAAGCGGGCGTCGGGATCAAGCGGTAAGCAGAGGCAGAAACAGAACCTGATCACGTGCTTTACTCTCGGCTATCAACCGAAGCACCAATTAACGTAGCCGCCCATCCGACCAATCGGAGTAGGCGGCACTCGGCCAAAATATAGTGCAGAGAAGACCCTTTTTCAAGCTTGAATTCCGATGATCATAAAGCCATCAGTCATATAAGTACATAAGAAAGCCATCTTCTAGACCCTTTCATTTGTATCCACGGTCCTTGCCCTCTTAATTCCTTTCAGCGCATCTTTCCTCTTCTCCCCTTGCAGTACCTAGGTTACCTAGTAAGCCTGGAGGACCTCATCCTTAGGGCTCAGCACTCTTTCGAAGGTCATGAACAGTTCATATTCATTCATTGAGCATTATACTAGTTTCATTGATGGCAATTACGCCATAAAGACCTCATGATACACTTCAGACTACTCCCTGGACGTATCCTCAACAGCCACTGCTTCAGGGCCCTTCTCTTCTTTCTCCCACCCAACCGCAGGAAGATCGTCTCCAAACAACGCATCCATCTGCTCCAGCGTCTTCCCCTTTGTCTCCGGGAAGAAGAAGATATAGCAGATCATGGCGATAAGGTTGAACACGAAGAAGACGTAGAAGTACCGGAATCCGATGTTCGTCAGCGCGGTGGGCGAGAATTGCGCAAATATCAAGTTGATGGTCCAATTGGTAAATGTGGTCAAACTGTTGCCTTGGTTGCGGATGTCCACAGGGAAGATCTCGGCAGGGTACACCCATGATATGATTCCGGGGGCAGTGTAAAAGAAACTGAAGACAAAGTTCATGGCCACCATGGCGCGGAGCTGGTTGGCGTTGTTCTCGTCCCAGTGCTGCGACATTGCCGCATTACACACCAAGGCTGCCGCCATGCCGGCGGCAGAGAAGATGAGAGGCTTGATGCGGCCGACCCGTTCGAGGGCCCACAGACCGATGGTTGCGTAGACAATCGACAGCGCCCCGGAGATGCCAACAATCATGAGCGTAGTGCGCGTATCAATGCCCAACTCCCCGTAAATTTTGGAGGCGTAATAGTTAATTACATTAATCCCTGATAGAGGACCAAAGGCTTGTACACCGCAACCTAGAATGAGGCGACGCCGCCAGGAGGGCTTGGTCAGGATAGATGTCCATGTGATGGAGTTGTGGGCACGTTCCGCCTCAATCGTGTCCCGGATTTCCCGGTATTCGAGCTCAATATAGCTGGTTTTCTCGGGGGTGCCGTCGCCATGGAGTTTGTGGAGAGTTGCGAGTGCTTCTTCGTGGCGGTCTTGCTCCATGAGCCACCGCGGGGATTCTTGGAGGAACCACACACCGCCCATGAGGACTATGCCGGGAACGCATTGAAAAGCAAGTGGAAAGCGCCCTGTAGGAGCATGAAAGGGTTAGTAGACGCTTCGGTGGGCAAGAGAATGCAAGAGAATGCGGAACATACATTGGAAAGCGGTGTTGTTAAAAGAGCATCCATAGCCCAACCACTGCGCCACCAGATATCCCCAGCTCAACATCCACTGCAGCAGACCGGACATCATGCCGCGGGTCTGCGCCTCGGCCATCTCACCGGCGTACATAGGCACGGTGGATGTCAGCATGCCCACGGCGGCTCCGGCGATGAACCGGCCGATGATGAGCATGGTCATGTTGACGGCGCCCGCCTGCAACGCACATCCGAACACGGAGATGCAAGCTCCGGCGAAGACAGACAGCTTGCGGCCCAATCTGTCGCCGGTAAACATGTTGATGATGGTGCCTAAGATGGCGCCACCCTGGAAGGCGGAGACGACACCACCCGTGACAGTGTCATTAGGGTTGGAGAAATACTTGATGAACTCGGTCTGGGCGATGGTCGAGGTGACAATACCGCTGTCATAGCCGAAGAGGAAGCCTTTCAAACGGACAATCCAGTGTCAATGCCCATGATCTCAGCTTGCAGGTATGAGGGACATGACAAACTCACCTCCGATGGCCAAGAAGACAGCGGACAACAATGTCGAAATTTTAGTCATTTTCCTGGAGAGACAGACGACGTCGATCTTCTGTGGTGGTTCAAGCAGACGGCAGAGTCTGCATCTTATATGAGGCTTGCATTACGCTAGGCCATGGGTGGCGGGTGACCTCTTGGCTTGACTCCAGCCCCGACAAGCGATATCAAGCGTGGTTGACTGGGAGTCTGGGCCAAAATCCGGGACAAATCTGGGGTTGTCTCAATTCCTCTGCTGCCCCATGGGCCATGGCAAGCAGCGAGCCCGGCTACTTGCCGTGGAGAATAGCCGAGGAAGCGCCGGCCGTCATGAGATCTGGGGTAGCACCAGCGCCGATTCAAGCCGATTCGGGGTTCTCTGACCCGAGACCGGGTCACGCCCCATGGGGAGGGGAAGAGTTCTGGATGGCTGACAGCTATGCCACTGGGAAAAGGGTTTTATGCCCAAGGTAGTCGGGTCTCCGAGACACCGCAAAACGCAGTCACAATTGGAGATGGATGGGGGGCGAGCCCTAAGACGGGAAGTGGCTTGTTCCAAGACGGTTTAGCCTCGCCCGCCAAGTTCGACTAAAGTCGACTAAAGCTTGGGCAGACTCGGATTTTCCGAACTACTTCAAAGTTTGTGGAAACGCACACGCCCTTGGTTGGTGTCTGACTGTCTATTTGCTTGTGCACGGCTTGCCCTCGCCTCCGGTTTTCGTATGGGTGGGGATTCTGGAGGAAAAAAAGCTCGGGAAACCGTTCGCTAAATTACCATGACCATCCCTGCCTGCCCAATGGGTGCCGTCAACCCTCACACTGCTGGATCTATTCGCTTAACGATTCTGGCCATGTCCGACCAACTCACACACTAACGCAGAGTTCGACCTTCGCCAGGATTGTGTACTCTTCGGTGGCCTTCAGACCGAGATACGAGTGCATGCTCACATCGGGATCATCTGACTCCGCCGAAACTTCGATTCTGGCAGGAAAAATCAGGCCATGGCGATGACTGGTAGTCGAAATGACTCCCCATTGAACTAGTCTAGTCTCTATGTACAAGTGTATTGAAATTATGGCTGGACGAAAACAGAATACTCGCCGTGAGTTAGTCGCACGTCATCGCCCTCCACGGCCTGCTTTGCTTCGCCGGCTCGAAGATAAGCCGAGTTCTTTGCGTTCTCGGGCAGCTTGACGACAGCCGTCGTCCCGAAGGGCACGCGCAGACTAAGTGTCACCGCGCCCTGCGCATCGCGCGTGAACTCGACAGTAATTAAGCCGTAAGGACAGTCCACGCTGCCCTGAACGTGGTCGAATTCCGCTTCGTAGGGTGGGTCTACCACAAAAGTCCGATACGCCAGTCCGGTTGGCTTCAACCCCAGCACGGCGGCGTAGAACCACTCGTAAATGGTTCCCAACATGTCGTGGCATTTGCTGCGGCAGGCATCCTGCCAGAACTCAAGCAGGGTGGTTTCCCCGCGCCGCAGGAACCGCATATACGATGGATGTTCCTCCTGCCGAGCCATTTGCAGCACCAGATCGGGACGCTTGGCATCCGCCAGCGTGTTGAACAGGAAACGCAGCCCGATCTCGCCGGACCGCATGCGGCCGTCAGCGACGTCGTCCATGAAGGCGGCCATAACATCGGCGCGATGCTCTTGTGGCACCATCCCAAATTGCAGCGCCATTGCTTGCGCAATTGCGTCCCGGTCGCGCTCCGGGTAGTTGTCCAGCGAGGTGTAATACGCATACGGGCGGGAGGGGTCGTTGGTGACGAGGAGGTGGCGATTGTATGCGGCGTAAATGCGCGCCGCCCATTGCTGGAATTCGTCGGCCTTCTGCGTCTCGCCCAGCTCCCGTGCCATCATCTCCACGTTCTGCAGGCAGCGGTAGTAGATGGCCGTCTCGATGTTAGCCTGGTTATTGCCGTGGGCAATGCCCCGTCCCCAATCGCCAAGGCCGTGCTCGATCAATCCGCCCCGTCGCTCCTTAGTGCGCATGTATTCCATGTAGCGCACTGCCGCGGGAAATACCTTGGCGATGACATGTGTCGAGCCGTAGTATTGTCGAAGGATGTCGGGAAGGAAACACAAGGCGCAGCCCCAGGTGATGGTATCGTGGAGTGGTCCACACATGTATCGAATCTCAGGAGCCATAGTAGGAACCAATCCACTGGGTTCCTGGGCGTCAAGAATATCATCCAGGATTTTGGTGTACAGGGACTCCATGTCGCGGATGTACTGTGTTGCAGGGGCCAGCAGGTGGGTAACCTCCAGCCAGCCGAATTTCTCAATCTGCGGACAGTCGGTATGGTAGCTGAACAGGTTACTGCTGAACGTCCAATAGCATGCATTCAGCAAAGCGTTCACATCCTCCTTATCGGTCTTCATTGTTCCTAGTTGTCTTGCAGCAGATGAGATGTGGCGGCCAACAACCGATACGATTTTCGGGAGGCCATCCTCCCCGTCCAATGAAACACCTTCTACTTGGATATACCGTGCACTGGTGAAGCTGAAGTCCGGTTCCCACACCTCAGGGGCGCCCGTGCCGGCCAGATAGATGCGGGAAAAAACACCCGTCTCGAACTCTTTGAACAAGGGATCCGGCATCAGAACGGTGCCATCCTCCTTGACTGTCTCGCTGTATCGGACAATAATTTCGGAACCTGCGGCACCCTCAACGACAACTTCAACCATTGTGGACGTATTCTGCCCTAGGTCATAGCAGACAACGCCAGGGCTTGGACTGTGGGTTTTGATAGGCTTGAAGGTCTCGTGGAGCACGACTGGAGGTTGGGTCTGGTAATAAATGTGACCTCGTGGTCCTGTGAGGGGCTTGGCGGGAGCCCAGTGTGCATCGTCGAATTCGGGGGCGTCCCAGCCGGTCGGATACAGGCGGCGATCGTGGGTTTCGGAGGCATAGATGTTGGCAAGTGTAGTGGCACTCTTGCTCACGCGCCAAGTTGGATCAGAGATCAAGGTGGTGTGCTCACCGTCCTCATAGAACAAATGCAGCTCACTGAAGAAGCACAGCTCGTTGCCGTAGCGGACATAGGTATTATCCTCGTACATGGGCCAGAAGAAGCGGTCATCGCCCTTGTCACCCGCATAGAAGCCATTGCCCACGTGGGCGCCCAGCACATTCTGGCCCTTCTGCAGCTGGGCAGTTACGTCGTAGGAGGTAAATTGTACGCGACGGTGGTAGTTGGTCCAGCCGGGATCAAGGCGGTGGTCGGAGGCCGGTCGGCCATTCACGCTCATATTGAAGTGACCCAGTCCAGATGCAAATAGGATGGCGCGTACCGGCGTCCGAGAGAGGTCGAACGATTTGCGCACGTAAATGGGCTTGTCTCCTCCGTCGCCAATCCACACAGCCTTCCAGCGGTTGGGTTCATCCTCGAACCAGGTGCGGAAGATGAGGGCAGTATGAGGCATGTAGGTCTGGTTCATGCTGTAGGGAGGCAGGAGATGAGAACGAGGGTACGCCGTGAAGAAGTGGTTGACTGCGCTGTGGAAGGATTGATTCGGTTGATCCCAGACGGTCACTCGCCAGTAGTAGCTGCAAGTCGACTGGAAGCCGTGGTCGGGTTTGCAGATGATGTTGCGCTGCTCATTGCTCTCCACGTAGCCAGAGTCCCAGGCCAGCTTCGAGGGATTGACATTGTCATCACGCAGGCTCGACTCGTCCGTAACCAGTACCACGCGGTAGGCTTTTTGCGAAGCATTTGGTTGGGTGGATGCGATGACCCAGAAGAAGCGGATCTCGTCGACATCGATTCCTAAAACCTCATGGAAACCATGAATTCCGCAGCGCGTTATCTCCATGGCGGGGGTGTAGCGAGTGTGTTTCGGCGAGTGTCATGAAGACTGCCCCCAGCTGGGAGGTATTCTCATTTTGTCCCATTCTCACAGCCCAAAGAGGAAGCATTTCCAGTTACCCCTCCATAAAAGTGGGACGAGAATGGAGTCAGTGGGGGGTGTGGGGGGAAAGAAGAGGGGAGAGCGTCGAGAACCTCGCGTGAATTAACACCGAAAGACCCCCAAAACACCGTCACGGGTGAAACTAGTCTAGACCACATTGGGTTTTGGCACTTTTCGACGTCTTAGTCAGACATTGCTTAGTCACCGTTGACCCCCCAACTGCCGGTTTTCTCTTCCGAGGTTCTGCCGCTCGTTCATTTCCCCAACCAGCAGCTGTGCTTCCCCACGGGGAATCCTGGTCTGTCCTCGTGGACCATTGCATGGGGTCATGACACACTGCGGCCCTTCTGGCAGCCTGTTAGTGTGTGATTCAAATCAACCCCACCTCCCATCTACAATTCGATTCGTTGTCTAATCTTCGTGTTGCTGCAGAATCCATGACAAGTCGGACTTTCCGGTGAATACGGGACATCCGTCTACTGTCGATCCATTACCAACGATATCACGGGTCGGCACCCGGCGAAAGGCTGAAGGAATCCCACGCTGGACTTGGCGAGCTTGCTAGTTTCTTAGCAAGCGATCCTCTTTGTCACTCCGGTAATTCCAAGAGATTCAACGGAGCGATGGCTGAGGGTTGGGACTGTGGATTCGCGTCGAAGGAGCCTGTGCGCGCAGCATAAATTGCGCTGCTTCGCTGTCCGACATGAAGGGTCAGACAGCCTGAATCCATTTTCAACAAGCTATTCCGCTAGGTAGCACTCGCATATACATCATGGGAAAGCTTGGATTTGCCCTTGCGGCTTTGGCCCTTCCAACAGCACTGGGAGCTCCTACAGCCTCCCGCAAAAGCTCCAGCTACGTCAACTGGCGACAGTTCAAAGCCCACGGAGCCAACCTCGGCGGATGGCTGGTGCAGGAGTCCACCATCAACAGCGCATGGTGGGCTGAATATGCTGGAGGGGCTTCGGATGAATGGGGCTTCTGCGAGAACTTGGGTCAACAATGCGGACCCGTCTTCGAGGAACACTATGCCACTTGGATCACCACCGCCGATGTTGACAAGCTTGCGGAAGTCGGGATCACTGCACTGCGAATCCCTACTACCTACGCTGCCTGGATCCATTACCCCGGATCCCAGCTCTACTCGGGCAACCAGACCAAGTATCTGTCTGAGATTGCCACGTATGCTATTGAACAATATGGCATGCATGTCATTGTCGACATTCATGGACTGCCGGGAGGCACCAATGGCTTGACGATCGGCGAGGCGACTGGCCACTACGGCTGGTGGTACAACCAAACCAATCTCGACTACTCCCTACAAGCAGTCGACGCGGTGATCGACTACATTCAGAATTCCGGTCACCCCGAATCCTATAGCCTGGAACCCGCCAACGAAGCCGTCGACAACAGAGACTTCTCTGTCTTCGGTACCTCCGCCGCGCTGTCGGATAAGGCAGCGGCCTGGCTCTTGAAATACTACCAAGCCGTGATCGACCACGTCGCCGCAGTGAACCCCAGCATCCCCGTCATGCTGCAGGATAGCTTCAAGGGCGAGAGATTCTGGTCCGGCAACTTCTCCACCAATGCCAACATCGTCTTCGATTCTCACAACTACTGGTTTGACGATACGAATGCCACGTCCGTCACCCTGGCGAAAGACATCTGCACCCGCGCTAAGGCCGTCGCGGGCGACGGCAAGTTCCCCGTCTTTGTCGGCGAATGGGCCATCCAGGCCGGTTCCAACAACACATTCGCCCTGCGGGAACGCAATCTCAACACCGGCCTGCATGCCTTCCACCAGCACACCCAAGGCTCTTCTTACTGGACGGCCAAGTTCTATGGAAATGGTACCGTGAGCGGACAGGGTAACCAGACGGACTACTGGAATTTCGAGGGCTTCATCGATCTGGGCCTGGTGCATCTCGATAGCAAGAACTATAAATGCGTGTAAGGCGTCTGCCTGGTGGTAGTGGATGTCATTTTGTAAATATGTTATGCAGCGTGTGTCTATAGAGCTCGGAGATAGTTCTTTCAAGCAGAAGAATATTTATGCTCGAATAATATCAAAGTCGCTGACTTATGCTTCAGTCCACTGAAAATCGTCGCAAATACTGACGGCAGCACAACTACAAAAAAACATGCCTCTGAGAACTGTCAACTTAGTACTTTTCCGGTTACAGACTGAATGAAGCTATCCCTGGTTTGCTGATACCCCCGCGCAAGCGGACGGTCGACCCGCCTTGTTCCTAGCTGGGTTAGACTGACGCGTGTTTGCCGTACGGCCCATCAACGGTCATGACGTCAGAAATCAAGGTAGTTCTCGCACGGCCTCGAATCGCCTCGGAAATTGTTATCATGTCGACACGAGTACATTGCTGCACGTGCTTGATAACCTATGTCTAGACCTTCTAGTGCAGATGGCGTCGTGGATTCGGCTCTGCGGTGAGACTACCTTCTGAAATGGCTCAACGTGATCAGCTCTCCAAGTTGAGGATAGTAGTATTATGTTTGAGCATAATCTCTCTGGCTTATCAATTGCTATAGTTTCTATCATAAAAGCATCTATAAAACCAATTTAGCAGACAAATTTCAATGACTAGGATACAGTACACTGTTGGCAATTAAATTCTATCCAGTCTAAGCACAAAGACAATGATCTACACAGATCAGAGAAGAAGACTAACTAGTGTACAGGCATGTCACCTTGATCGACAAGGTGATCGAGAGAACTGATTAGTAGATAGTGATGTTGTAAGCATCCAGCTCGTAAAGGAAGGTCTGGATCGACGCCTTGTCCTCGACACACTCCAGAGTGGTGCCGTTGTTCTTCCACAGGGGCCGAAGAGGCCACGAGCAGATGTTCTGGTGCTCGCCGGCGTTGTCGCCAGTGAGCACGGTACCGTTCAGCGTGACGGGGTCGACTCCCTTCTCCACCCATCTCATGAGGTCACCGAGCGAGTCCTGAGGATAGGGACCGTTGGGCTGCAGCGAGTTGGTGTTGCAGTGCGAGGCACCGGGCACAAGGTACAGGCGGTAGAACTCGTTGATGGCCTTGATCGATTCATCGTAGGTGTAAGTCGAGTTGGGGAACATGGTGTTGCGCACGGACTCGAAGTAACGGATCGACGACGACGCGGGGATGGAGTTATCGGATTCACCGTGGTAGTGAATAACCTTTCCACCAGCAGCCTGGAAGCGCGACAGGTCGGGCCAGGTCGTCTGTAGCACGTCCTCGTACCGCTGCAGGCCCTCCAGCATCCAGTCGCGGAGCACGTCGTAGGTCACGTTGTCGAGGTTGGACAGGTTGTCGAGGTCCAGCAGCTGCAGACCGTGAGTAACCCACTCACCGCCCAATTCCGAGATCTCGGGGCCGTATGTCTTAGTGGTGGCGTCGTAGCTGGTCTCCGCGTCGGTGAACTCGGATCCAATCTGGTACCAGAAGTAGGCCTGGCGACCCTCGGAGTCCTTCAATCCGTCGAGAATGGTCTGCGCGACGCGGACACCCTCAGCGGTGATGGTGCCGTTCTGCGCAGGAGTCGAGACGCCCATGCTGGTGCTGGCTGCGCACGAGTACGGCTTTCCGATGGTGGACTTGAGGTCGAAGTTCAACTTGCAGAGGTCGCTGCGCGAGATGACTCCGTCTTTGCGACCATCCAAAGCGTCGCATCCGTCGATAATCTGCGTCACCAGCTCGGACATTTCGCAGTTGGGGGGGTAGTATCCCAGAGTCTGCTGGACGACCTGCGGCACAAGATGGTTGACCTGTTGTTGACCGTAGCGAATGGCCGGGGCACCAATGACAGCACCGTTCCATTCTTCAGGGAAGCGCTGAAGCTGACTCCAACCCTCGCGACCGCCCTCAGAGCAACCCTGGTAGTAGGAGTAAAGCTTGTCGGTCATGTTGAAGAAGTTCTTGGTGAACGCCTTGCCGATGGAGGACATCTCGTGGTGAGCCTGGTAGCCGAACATGTACAGGGCATCGTAATTGGCGGTGCCGTTCACAAGAGGGTAGACAGACGAGAATTGAGTGTCGAAGCTGCCAAACCCTCCATCAGTGCGGCCGGCGACGGCACCGTACGGCAGACCAGCGGGAACGTTGGTGGCGACGTTGATAGCGAACCCGAAGCCACCGGTCGAGAGCCAGCGGTTCTGGAAGTCCTCGGGGGAGGGCATCCAGAACTGCAGCAGAACCTCGTCGTCCTTACCCGCATGGGAGTAGGTCATGGTGATGTTGCAGTAGTTGTAGGTGCCGGCAGGATAGTAGTTGGATCCAGCGGTGGATTCATTGTAGACCGGGGCTGCGGTGACGCTGGAGGGGTTGGTGACCACCCCCTGGGCCAGACCGGTGGAGGGAATCGCCGTCCTGGCGTAGGCGGAAGTACAGACATCTTCCAGGCTGACAGCCTGGGCTAGAGCCGCGGCTGAGATGGCCAAAGAGAGGTACTTGGCCATGATGAATGAACGACTGAGCAATAGAGAACGAATGGAAGGAGTGTGGTGAGAATGAAGAATCGAAGTCTGAGGCGGGTTACGGCGAGTTTTTATATGAAGCCGTACCTTTTCGCAAACAGTCAAGCATTCAGACCCGCCTTGGGCAACGTAACCAGTTCCACCGGGTGTTTCCACCGACTTTACCTTAATCTTATGCTTGTGTAGATCTTGCGACCATTGACGCAGGTCAAGTCGACTGAGGGACGGAACGCCGCGTCAGATCCGATGGTGAAGATCTCGGAGATGGTATGATAGTGGTGGCAGGACCAAGGCTAGATGATGGAGATAAGGAGCGTCGTCATGTCTCCATGTCTGGGGACCGGTGAATCCACAATCTGCAGCATAAAGTGTTTAAGCTTGTGGAGCTCAGAGTGGAGGATGAGGTTGAAGAACAGGAACAGTGGTCGATCGCTTACCCGAAAGGCATAAGTCTCCGCAAGTAGTGCGAATCATCCCAAAGGGGTGCTTAGTATTCCAATTCCAATGCCGTTAAAGCTTCTTGTGCAATAGGTTTCGAAGCTGTTTCAATGATTTATTGTGGTAAGAGAATTGAAGAACCCGTTCCTGGGTCCGGGATAAATCTTATCCAGACAACCAAGTGACCGACTAACTCAATAGTACATCCATGACACAAACAGTACAAACAAGGCAACCATGCCGGGCTAGATCAGCCCCCTCCCATCTTCAGAGTCATCTCCAATGTACGAACAAGATACTAGCAAAAAATTTCAAATCTTTCCTTGATTCACATGTCCTTCCTTTGCAACCGAACGTATCTCTTGCTCCAGACCCTCGACCAGTTGCCACTCAATGCCGGCCTCTCCGAGCATCTCACGTGCCGATGACTTATTGCTTATCGAGCACGGCGACAGCGAGCCGAAATAAACCTTCTCGATGCCTTTTCGCCCCTCTTTTCTTGTTTCGATGATTTTCTGCACGCAGGACATGTCACTTTCCTCATGCTCCACGCAAGGCTCAAAGCACATGTACATGATCAAGGAGCGATCAGGCTCAGAGGGTAGGACATCCCCGACCTCATTGTCTGGGACTCCATGGACGGCAGCGTAGTTGGAAAGACAGGCCTGCTCCGCATGGGGTCTCTTCACCAGTTCCATGGTATATCCCGATGATAGAAGCCGGTCGTCGTTGTACAGCTCGTTGTGTGTTCCCCGGACGAGTTTTCGCGAAATCAGAATTGCCCCGGCTCGGAAGAGGGCGGGGCGCGGCGGTGACAGCTTGGCCAGGTTAAGACAGTGGCGGAGATATGTCAAATGCGGACAGGGCTCCACAAGCGTACTATTGTTCGCGGGCTCAGGGTATAAAGAGAGAATCATGGTGGAAACGGTTTGACTGCTTCGGCGGGATTTTAACTGCATGCGATTGCGCAAGATGGCTGACATGGACAACCACCAGGGGTATCTTGAACACCGCATTTTATACTACGCGCGATGCTGAACTTGGTACTCGGACGTTATCCCTACTCCACGATATGACATCATAATGCCAGCTGACGCTATGGAAGGTTTCGAGGGAGGTCTCTGAGGTGCACGATTGGTCATCTAGGAGCAAAGACCCGTGGCGCGGTATGTAGGGGTATCCCAACGGGGAGACAGGCTCCTCGATGACTACTCGTATACTCCTTATGGATCATCTAAATGTGATGTTTTTCTTCATGCTTATTGCGTGACTTCGTGATTTGATTTGTTCGTTTGCCCGTTTTCCAGCCGGCTGCTCAATTCTTCGTGACGTCAAACTGTCCCTTCCCCTGAAGAATCCGTAGCCAAAACAAGAGGAGTATCGACCTTGATACAATTCTCGGCAATGCAACTCTCAGATATGACTGTCGGCTCGGCAGGTTGTTTACTATGATGGCTTTTATTTCCGCTGCGCGTCGCTTCAAGCGGAACTGTGACGAAAAAAGCCAGAACAAGCTAGTTGAAGTCCCACCCTTGTTTACTTACTCTGTAGGACACCCTCAATCACTCATGGTATACTATGATTGTGGAACGCCGAGCAGAAGGTAGGTTCCTACGCCTGTCAACGCCAGCAGGCCGGGATCGAGGACTCATGTACCTTGCCCGTTCGGTCGAACGAAGGGTCTCGATCGTCACGGTTGTCCTTGATGTCTCCCACCACTAGGGATTTTGGCGTCGCACAAGAGTTGTGATGGATGGTAGTCGATCAGAAGGAAGGACATACTCAACCGGGCATATCCAGTGATATCAGCTCTTGGAAGCTAGCTTCCATGCTATAAATCCCAAGGTAGCCTCGGCACTCGAATTTTACGACCAGTATCGCAGCTTGTGGACTTAATAATGACTGAGAACGGATCTCAGACGACCCAGTGGGGATACAGATGGAGATCCTCCGAAAACTTCATCCTGGCTACAGTAGCCGGGGGGATCATGCGGAGTGAGTTCCCTTTATGTCGCAAGCCACTGCGCGGCCGCGGCCCTTCAAAAAGCCACAGAAACTGATTTCCAGCAGGCATGTTCCTTTGGAGCTTCATCATCCCTCTCCTTCCTTACATG